TTCTTTTTCTTTCTTCTCTCTTTTTCTTTCTTTCCTTTTTCTTTTTAGGTTTTTTCCGTAGAGCTTGCTAGCTTGAGAGACAGAGAGGGAAGTGAGAGGGAAGTGAGAGATCATCCCCCGGGGAGGCCGCACCGTGATCCTTTCTCCTCCTGGATTCTGGGCGCCCATGCACAGGCACCCGCGTGGATTTTCAAGGCAGGTACTGGATCTGGGACTCCAACCCGGGCGGTCTTGTGAGTCCAGCGCCTTCACCATCGCGCCCCCCTGCTGGCCAGTTACCGTGTTAGTCAACATTGTCTTTCCAGGACTCCGATCCGGTCCAAGGCCCCAGCTGCAGGTCTCTGCTTCCTGACTGAAGAGCCACAATGGACACAGACAACCGCACGCGGCCCGCAGACTTTGTCCTGCTGCGGCTTCCCGGGCCGCAGGCATTTCCGCTCGCCCTCTTCGCGCTTTTCCTGGGCATGTACATGCTCACGGTGGGCGGGAACGTGGCCATCCTGGTGCCGGTGGGTGCTGGTGAGCTGCTGCCGCCAGCTGCACACGCCCATGTACTTCTTCCTGAGCAACCTGTCTTTCCTGGAGATCTGGTATACCACCGCCGCGGTCCCCAAAGCCCTGGCCATCCTCCTGGGCGGGAGCTGGACCCTCGCCTACGCGAGCTGCCTGGCGCAGATGTACCTGGTGTTCTCGCTGGGCTGCACCGAGTACTTCCTGCTGGCCGCCATGGCCTACGACCGCTACCTCGCCGTCTGCTGGCCGCTGCGCTACCACGCCGTCATGAGCGGCCCGCTCTCCGCGCAGCTGGCGCTGGGCTCCTGGCTCGGCGGCTTCCTGGCCATCGCGGCGCCCACGCCCCTCGTCGGGCGGCTGTCCTTGTGCGGCCCCGTGGTGCTCATCTGGTTCAGGTCCACCATCTTCCTGCACATGGGCACCTCCATCCAGGACGCCCTGGACCTGACCAAAGCTGTCCACGTCCTCAACACTGTGGTGACCCCCGTCCTAAACCCCTTCATCTACACCCTGCTCAACAAAGAAGTGAGAGAAGCCCTGAGGAAGAATTGGGCGGAAACCTCCTCTCGTGAGCAGACACTCTGCAAGGAGCCGTGCGTCAGAGGTCCCGAGTGAGCCCCGCTGCTCCAGGTCAGCCTCACATGGATCAGAGAGAGAGGAGAGAGATGCACGGGGCTGCTGGCCCACGTGCTCCTTCCCGCAGGGATGGGCGCTAAGCACACAAAGCATGGTATAGAATGAGATTTCATCTTGACTTTCCTCTATAAGATCGGGCAAGAGTGTACAGCAGAGGAGCAATGAGCCCAGATGGGAAGCTTTTCAGAAATGAAGAATGGTATACCTGGGACTCATGTAAACGTTTACTGTAAGTTTTAAAATTTGAAGGAAAAATGATGTAAGATTTTGATTTATACACTAAGTCTTGGTCTGGACGAATGAAAGCACACCTTCACAGACTTTCCAAGGTAACAGCTGTTTAGAGGAAATGCACCTCTTCGAATACACACCAGAGGAGGGGCCAGCAGGTGGCTGCAGGGTAAGGCGCTGCGTCTTACAAGGTAGACAGCGCCGTTTCCGACAGGCACCTTGAAAATCTCGCTGGGTGTGTGTGTGCCTGCACACAGTCCCTGGAGGAGACTGAGAAGGGATTGCAGCTTCAGCGTGTTTCTGATACTCATTAAAAACATTTTTTCAACTTGTTTGCTTTAGTTTACTTTGAACTTGGGACCCTTATTCTCCTTAACAGATTTCATTCCATGTGTTTGATATTTTGGAATGTTAGCACGTTTCCAACAGTAGAAACTGTGGAAGAAAATATTCCCCAAGAACGGCTGTCCCTGCCACTCCATCCGGCTGCAGTGAGGAGCTGCTGATCCTGGGAGAGGGGGATTTACTCTGCTCTTATGTAAATCTAACTTTTGTTTTGTTTTCTAGTCTGTGCTTACTTTCTATCTCATGGGTTTATATCGTTATTTATATGTTAAATTTCAAATATTTTAACCCTTACAAGATGTTATTAATTTAATTCATATTCATTTAGACAACCACAACCATATAGGTGTTCTTTGTTTGTTTTATTTATTTTTTGCTTCTCTTTTATACATGGTTTTTTGAACTTTTATCTGGTATTATTTCCCATCTACTTGAAAATATATCTTATAGATATATCAAGATACACAGATACACAGTAAACTTAGCAAATATGATTGTTGTATAATACAATTTTTAACAAATGTTTATATGTCAAAATTCAACCACAGTGAAGGAAAAGAGCATGTTTCCCACTGTGCTCCTGTGTTTCCCTGCACAACCCAGCCCTCTGTCCCCATTCCCAAGGACAAGTGAGCCTCCTGTCATTGCAGTTCAGTTTGCTTTTCAAAATTGTACACAAGTGGAACCAAGTTGTGTATGCTCCTTTTGGTTTGCATCGTTCGCTTAAATTAATGAGGCATATGCATATCTTCCATATATGAGTAGATCACTTCTTAATTTTCACAGAGTAATATTCACCTTACAGGTATGTTTTCTTTATTGATTCACGTATAAAGCACGCTTTTGTTTTTGTTTGTTTATAGCAATTACAAAAACATTAGCTCTGAATATACATGAATAGCTCTTGGCGAGGACATAGCTTTTCACCTCTATGAGCCTCTGGGTCCCACTTTAAAACAAAGGAGCTCTTCATTTTTTTTTTTTTCACTTCGCAGTAATTACATTTTCTTTTTCTCATGAAGCATTCTATTACCTTCTGACCCTGTAGCTACTGCCCCAAAACTGCTTTCTCTGTGATGTGGGAGACAGTCTGGAAGATGTCTTGGGCAAGAAAGGATCCCTAGGGGCACACTGGGGCACCCAAAATGCGCACGTGTGCAAGGGGACCTCCAGAGTGTGTGGGGAAGGGAAGTGAAGTGTGAATGTATTGTGGTGCAAACACCTTTTAAATCCATACTTAGTGTCTTTGATAATACGTGGTTTTCATAAATATTTCTAAGACCCTGGATAGCTCCTCTTGGTGATGGTGATGGGGGTAGGAGGTTCTAGGTTCAAGTCTGGAGGCCTCCTTCCTGAGCACAACAGGCACACACGTACCCAGGATCTGATCGGGGCAGCTGGGGTGGGGGTGAGTCATGCGGTCACAACCCTGTTGGGGTGCTGTTTCTCTCTGTTTCTGTTGCTCACAGAAGAAGTAAATAAACTTTTTTAAATGATGCTGCATAGGACCAGCAGATGGTGTAATGGTTACATCACTGAACTCCCATGTAGTCCACTGTGGTTTGAGTCCCAGA